TTGCTGTTGGTAATCAATGAAGACATTGAGATCCAGTTGCCTTAGAAATAGCTTCTAATAGCCACCGGCTAAACACTGTTTAACAGTTCTTTATATTAAAAGTAGATCACATTTCATTGCAAAAGAACAATAGACAGTTCTATGACAACAGGCTTAAAAGTGAGATTCATTTCTATTTTTAATGTAACTGGAAAAATTCCATGAGTTATAAATCTTTGGGGTGCTGATACTTGATGTACTGAGTGGGACAGAATCCTACCATTTCTCTGTAGTTCTTGCCACCTGAGTACCTCACCTTTCCAGAAGTTCTCCACATCTTTAATCCTAACACTTGATGTCCTCTCTCTGTTCACACTGTTGCCAACAGACAGGGCTCCCACATGCTGGGGACATTAGAAGGAGGTTAAAGGGAGCCAGTAGGTGAGTCATAGGTCAATAAAAGCAGTGCGAGCTGGAAAATGTGCTGCACTGATGTCCACCGTGTACTCCAGGCCGCATCATAGGAAGGAAGCCCCAGGAGAGAGGCTGCTATAGTTCGTTTTAATGTCAACTTCTGTATACTGAAGTGTCATACGTACAAGAAAATACATGGGCCACTATTTTATTCTGTCTAGTACTAAGCGTCAACCTTCAGAATAGCTAGTTAGAGAAAAAAATGACAAAATGTGTTTATTCCAGAGGGGAAGAAATCTCTTAATACTTTGTGAATATTAAGGAAACAACATGAAAGCTGAAAATTTATTTCACTAATATACATAAGTTCACAACAATGAATAGACACAGAAAATAGCAGTATATACAGAATTTCACTACTTACAATACAATAGATAAATAATAGAACATTTTATAAACAATTCAGTATTAGATTAAAACCTTTCTAAGGATGGCTAATTCTGTTCAGCAGAAATCTACTTTTAGAAGCCCAGCAAATTCATTCCTCTCAGGATGATAGAGGGTTTTCACTGTTGCCGTAGAGTACTGTAAAAATATGTTTCTTATAAATGAAATGGGCCACAAAAACTTCCAAGTGAACCGATAGTCAGTGTAAGATTAGCATTATTAAATTGGTCTTCTGTGATATTAAATTGCAGTTAATCATGTTTAAAAAGCAACTTAAATGTAACAGGGTTTATTTTCATCTTAGATAACTTTTTATGATAAAGGTGAAATTCTCTCTCTCTCTACTGAAGGTGAAGTGTCTTAGGAGGGTGTTGTAGATAAAGCTAGACACTGCTTTATCTACGTTTATCCTGGCCCCTCTAGCACTACATCTAAACACAACCTGTAATGTAGAAGATGATTATTTTAACACTTCTATTTTTCTCCAGCATTATACAATAGATTCAACAAAAAAAAAAAAAAAAAAAAAGAAAAAAAAAAGAATAAGAAAATGCACAGGCCACAAGGGAACAACCCAGTGGATTTTTTCAAAGTGAAAATACCCACGTAGATTTAAAAAGAAAATTTTTTAAAAGTTTTTTCCATAAGGGACATGTGCTTGCCAGAGAGAGAGAAAGGGAAAGTGAAAAATCACCCCCTAGAGAGGATAGCCAAGCTGCAATCCCTTACCCACCGTTCTCCTCTCAGGATTTTGGGTACCCACACAAATGCAGCCAGCATGATTTTCAGGCTGCTGGGTTCCAAACTCAGATGGTGGTCAACCACGTGGGAGTCCAGCACCTTGACCACTACACCAGCTGCTGGCCCCATCCACTTGGATTGCTAAAGAAATAGACATCTTTTTGCCTTCTACCAACTATTATTTGACAAAATTAACCACTATTCTTATTTCCATCACTATAGGTTAGTTTTTGCTTGCTTTTGAACTTGGTATAAGTGGAATAATACAATATGTATTCATCCTTAAAGTGTGTTCAGCATTATGTCTATAAGACTGTTGCAAATAATAGCTTTTTACCTTCTTTATTGCTGTAGAATTCCTTTGCGTGATAATTTATTTATCCATTCTCCAGTTGATGGACACTTCGGTTATTTCTAGTTTCAGGCTATAACAATGTATCTATGAACACTTCTATTTGTATGAACATTTTTATTACTAAAAGTACCATTATAAACTCATAGACTATGCACATATTCAGCTTTAATAAACGCTGTCAAGAAACTCTTCAGGTGAGTGTCGCCATTTCTACAGCCATGAGCAAAGCCAAGCCTTCTTTTTTTTTTCCCAGTGAGAGAACTAGGCACTTTGCCAGACTTTCTGTCAATCATGATCCTCCTGGGTGAGCTTCCAAGCTAGCTAACAGGAATGTGGCACTGCTACCTCGCTTGCTGCAGTTCACACAGGTAACAAACCCAGGCCTCTCAGGTGCTCTCAGCAATCACACAGCCGCACCCTCCTGCTTGTGCCCCTGCGGTTGGGCTGAAAGTTTTTTGCCCCACGTCCTCACCACACTTGCTATTGTCAGTCCTTTTAATTTTAGCCATTCTAAAGAGTGTGTACTATCTCATGGTGATTTGCATCTGCATTTCTTTGATGGAGGATCAGATAAACATCTACATATCCTTACTGAGCATTTACGTATCCTCTTTTGTAAAGTAATTATTAAACATTTATGCCTATTATTGGGCATTAACCTGTATTTTAATTCTAGATGGTTAAGAGTTCTCTGTATTATAGATAGGACTTGCTATTGGATATATGTATTGCAGAGATCTTCCTGTCTGTGGCTCATCTTTTGCCTTTTTAGTATCTTAATAGTATCTTTTGATGACACAGTTTCTTAATTCCGTTTTAAGTTCAGTTTATTAATCTTTCCCTTGATGACTAAGATTTTTATACTCTCATTAAGAAATCTGTTACTAATAGAATTCATGCAGATGTTTTCCCATGATGTTTTCTTAAATATTAGTGGCTTATCTTTAGAAGCCAAAAACTAACTGTGTATTGCATGAATTAGTGGCTTATCTTTAGAAGCCAAAAACTAATAATTGTGTATTGCATGAGGATCTAGTTCCAAGAAACCGTTCTTTCCCCCACTGAACTGCATTGACACCTTCATCATAAATAAGATGACTTGTATTTTCTGGGTCTGTTTCTGAGCTCCTCTTTCATTGCTCTTTTGATCTGTCTTTGTACCAACATGACACTGTTTTAATTACTGTAGTTTTATAATTAACGTTAAGATGTGGCAGAGTAAGTCCTCCTGACCTTTAAGAACTTGTTAAAAGATTGTCATTATTCTTCTATTTTTTTTCATTTTATAGAGCTTATTCGGGGCAAATTAACATGTTTGTAATATTGATCTTTCAAACCATTATCCTGGCATATCCCTCAATTTAGTTAGTCTTATTTAATCCTTTTCAAGATGTCCATATAACTTTTTGATATGTGCTTTTGTGTTTTTTATTAGTTTTGAAAACTTCTCAGCTATTATCTTTTCACATATAGTTTGCACTTCATTCTTTCCCCTCCTTCTGGGACATCAAGCACAAAGACTTTGTCTTTGTATCTTATATGTTGCTTCTATTCTTTTCTATATTTACCAGATTTTGTTCTCTTTGTCCTTTAATGTGGTTACTTTTACTAATCTGTCTTCTAGATCAGTCTTCTCTTTTACTTCTTCAAATCTGCTATTATATCTATATATTGAACTCTTGGTTATTGTGGTTTTTTGTTTTACATTTTTCTATGTGGTTCCTCTTTGTAAATTTTAGTTATCTGGTAAAATGCTTCATCTTTTAATATACTTTCTTCACCATTTTAATTGTAATTACTTTAAAGTCATTATCTAGTTATCTAATGCATTCAAAATATGTTTTTATATGACTAACTAGAATTAGCTTATTTTTGGCAAACTCTTTAAGTGGAATTAACCCAAATAGCTCCTTTATCTGAAATGCTTTGTACAATCTGCATAAATGGAGATAGAATTATGACATCAATATAAGTAATAAATAAAATTGGCTTATATATAGTGTAGAACCATTAAACGTAACATGGAAAATATATTAATCATATACCATTTATGTTTAAATATTTGTTAAGCTCAAGCTTGGCAATATATTCATTTAACAAATGTATTACTTAATTATTGTTGAGGGGATAATATTGATGTAATCAGTTGCCCTGGAGGAGAGAAAATTATACTTGGTTAGAAGAAGTAAAATTGTCCCTTTAGAAAATTTAAGGATGATTAAACAGGTTGATATGACCTATAGAGAAAATATTTAAATCAGGGCAAAGTCAGCAGAATAATAAGAAAAGCAAAAACCTACTGGCACACATCGTGTACTAGCTGCGATTCTAAGAGCTCTGCACTATGTAGGTAAGGTGCCTAAAACAGGGTTAAACGACTGCCGCAGCACGTCAGTGGCAGGAGCAGGATTGAGACTTAGTTGGCCTAGCTCCAAATTCAGCAGTCCTGCAGAAGGGAGAATGGTCATACATTTTGGACTACATGAGTGATAGGAGCCAAGCAGACATTTGGAACTTGTCCAAATAGAGCTCAAGTCCTGCTGAGAGTTCACTCTATTCGTCCTGGCAACAAACCACTCTAATGACAGTGAAGGCAAAATGAGGAAGGAGGACATGTGCAAATGAAGTCAGTAGTACTGAGCAGAAAAACCAAGGAAGCAGGCAGTACTTGGGGGAAAGTGTGTGCAGGTATTTGAGAAAAAAATGTACCGGAGACATGGCAGACAATATATAGGGAAACATAAATAAGAGTTCCAAATAACGGGGCTGCACTGAACTGTGATGCTCCAAAAAATATACCTCATTCCTTCCATTGATTTGGTCAACACAGAGCCAGTAAATCAAGAAGTAAAAACCTACGGTGTCCCATTTTTTTCTATCTGTCATCATTTCTATCTGGAAGGGATAAGAGCAGAATGTATTCTCCAGGGGCCCTCTGTAAGTTGATTTGATATTGGGGCAGTGAGCATACTGTTTGGGTAGCTTTGCCTGAAATGGCAATGTGTGCAGTATTTGCAGCACAAATTCATTATGTATATGTTTCTGCATGAAGAACATAGCTTTGATATTTACCTGGCAGGGGAGACGCCATGATCATGAAAGTAGTTTTTCCAGGGTGAGGCTTACCCATTGCACTTGGGATGTGCTGACCCTTGCAATTTTTCCAAATGTGGGAAACTCAACTGCATAATTTGTGGTAGTGAGGGACTGTGTTTGTATTTTTCCCTGGCTAGAAAAGAAGGAGGAGGAGGAGGAGGAAAAGAAGGAGGAGGAGGAAGAAGAAGGGGAGGAGGAGAAGAAGAGGAGGAGGAGGAAGAAGAAGAGAGGAGGAGGAGGAAGAGGAGGAGGAAGAAGAGGAGGAAGAGGAGGAAGAAGAAGAAGAAAAGGAGAAGAAGGAGAAGAAGAAAAGAAGAAGGAGAAGAAGGAGAAGGAGGAGGAGGAGGAGAAGAAGAAGAAGAATTATTATTTATCTTTTAGGGTAGCCAGTGATCTGGTGGTTAAGGTGGCTGGATTCCGCATGGCTGGCTGTGCAGCTCGAGTCTCAGCTCTGGCAGCTTGAGAAACACACAGGTGCACACACCTGTGCATTTGTGCCCAAAATCCCCAAAGAAGGGAGAAGTGAAGGAAAAGGGATTGTGGTGTGCTCATGGGGTCGTGCTTTCTCACTTTCCCTCTCTTTTTCTCTGTCTCTCTCAATCTCTCTTTAGTGAGTGCCCATGCCCTCTGGCTTAACTAAAAAGAAAAACAAACAAACAAAAAAGAATATGGCTCTTAGATTTTCAGTTTGTGCATTAATATATTTTAAAAATCATTAACAATAAAGGGGAATAAAAATATCTACCCATTTAGCTGCATTTAGAAAATGGAGGAGTAAATTTTAAAATATGTTCAAGTTAATTAATTAATTAATTAATTAATTAATTTTAATTTGACCAGACAGACCCAGAGAGCAAAACAAAGGGAAAGTGAGAAAGCAAGCTGCCAGGTCTGGGATTTGAACCATGGCCAGCACGTTGGAGTCCGATGCCTTAACCACCATGCCACCTGCCAGCCCCAAGTTTTAAAATATCTTTTAAGAAGAAGAAGGAGGAGGAGGAGGAGAAGGAGGAGGAGGTGGAAGAAGAAAGGGAGGAGGAGGAGGAGGAGGAAGAAGAAGAAAAGGAGAAGACGAAGAAGAAAAGAAGGGGAAGAAGGAGAAAGTACGTTCAGAAAAGTCGATCTTTCTCTGTCCTTTTCACCTTATTTCCTTCCTCACCGAGGTACTTTGCTTTGACGATTTCACTTTGGAAACATTTAAGTATTATATAAAAAAATTAACTAATAGAAAAACCATCTCTAAATATTGAACGCAAAATGAAATAAATTAACTTCAATGTGAAGTCAGTTGATTTCATAGTTACATAAAGAAAAACTACTCCAAGTGATTTTATAACAGTCCATTGATTTACATCCCCATGAGCATAACCCCAAGGACAAAAGGCACTAATGGAAGGGGGAAATCCACATATTTTCAGTAATCACATTGTATTTGATAGTGTTAATGGTTATTTTGAGACTGCTAGTGTATGTTGTTATTTTGAGACTGTTGCGGGATAAGACAAATGAAAAATTCAGTTGGTGTCATTAAGAACTAGCACTTTTGGCATTGAGAAATGAAGTACAAATGCAAGATTAATGAGATTAAGCAAAATATTGTAGTATAATTAGAAGTTCTAATGAAGTCATAATCTATTTTATCTCTCTTATAAAAAAAAAAGTACTTCCTAAGTCAATTTAAAAGTCTGAGAAACAGCACCTTAACCACCACACCACCTGCCAGCCCCGATGACTAACACTAGAGTGAAGGATACTCTAGCATCTGATCTGTGACTCCTGAATGCCATTTCCCACTAAAACTAACCAAAGCACCTGATTCCAGGTAAAAGGTGAGGCTGGCACATCTTGTCAGACCTGAAAGAAAGAACTTTCAAGGAGTACTAGGGCCATGTCAAGAAGACTAAGGAGCTGACTTAAAGACACTTCTGGTTATAGGGAACCAGCAGTTAGCGTAATGGCTATGTTGCTGGATTCCCACGTAGTCGACCACGGTTCGCGTCCCGGACCTGCTGGCTTAGAACTCAGGCCGGGCACGTGTGCATGCGTGCCCAAGAGCCTGAGAGGAGAATGGAGGAGAAGGGATTGCGGCGTGACCATCCCCCCTGGGGGCTAATTTCTTGCTTTCTGTCTCTTTGTCTCTCTTTGCCTGTCTGGTGAGCTCACGCGCCCTATAGCAAAAACCTCTCAAAAAAAAAAAAAAAAAAAGAAAAGAAAAAGGAAAAAAGAAAAAAAAGGGCACTCCTGGTTATAGAAGGGACGAAATTATGAACATCAATAAACAGTGGTCATAGTCAAGGGATTGAAACATTTTATGTATGTTTTTATCCATGAGTTCAAAATAATCCTAAAAATTAAAAACTCACTGCTGACTTTTGGAAGATGCTCAACTCATTACTTTAAAAATGAGCAACTAAATGGAAAATCAATCATTGATCCTGCCTTTCCTATATGAATTATAACTCAAGGTAATAATAATTAGAGAGGCAAATTTCTTTTTATAGACATATGCTAGTTAACATATGAAAAAGTAATGATACAATTAGAATACCATTATTTTCAAACTCTAAAAATATTAAAGGATCCAGGCAAGGTTTATCAATGTTAAAGATCATGGAAACAGCAAATTAGGTATCTAAAATCAGAATCTAGACATATACTACCTAAGATTGTTGTGTAGAATCCCTAAGAAGCAACTTTGACAGACAGCTTCCTAGTCTTCCTGCTGGGAAGAATTCAGATCTCAGTTCACCCTAGTAGATTTTATTACTGTTTTCCAAACTTGTATATACATCTAAATCATCAAAAGATATGTATTTCCAAAAACACTGGACCCAAAACACTAGTCCACTAGTCCTGAATGTATAACCCAATGGATATCAGTTGAGGAATTGATTTTATAAAATTCTATAGGTATTTCTGATGTTCAGCCAGGTACGGGAACCACTGACTTGTCTCTTACTGTCCCCAAAGGCTGAGCTGGTACCTGCATCGAACAGACCATGGGAAGATGAAGCCTTGGGATTTGGGAAAAATCTTTCTTTTCTTTTTATTTAAGAATTATTTTTTATTTGACCTTCTTTATTTTTGATTTTGACCACAGAGGTACAGATAGAGAGAGGGAAGGAAAGTAACAAAGCAAGCTGCCAGGTCCAGGACTGAAACTGTCATTGGTCATGTGGGAGTCCAGCACCCTTAGCCACTAAGCCACCTGCCAGCCCCAAGGGAAGAATCTTTCAAAAAGCTGATAGCTTCATCACTCCTTTACTTCCTTGCTGGCACCTTCAGTTCCACCATCAGCACATGAAGCATTTAGCTTTTCATTGTCAGAATAACTAACTGAAGATGGGAATTGAACATTCACAGCCAATGTGATGCCAATTTTTCACTCCCAGCCCATCGCCACGCCAGTCATAGATCACCATCCTCTTTCCCGGTGAAATCACATGTGACCTCAGAATCCTTCTCACTCCAGTGCCCCAGGCAATCACTGCCCGTTAATTATTGTTGACAGAAAAATCAAAAACAATTTGTCATCCTTGGTTCAGGTGTTACTGTTATTCCTTGTGCACTTTGAGTAGGCAGAAAAATATGATGTGTTTGCACTTACTTTTTAACACACCCTAGGGACCTGAGAGAATATGATAAAGTGAGGAAAATCATGAATACCACATGTATCTGAGGCTGATCGTCGTGGATAGGCTGGTTCCTACAACAGTGTTTGTACAATTGTCATGCCTAGGTCCAGGCTGGGCCCAGGATTCAAAAGGAGAGTAAATACAGCTCTTTTCCCTGGGCCTTATGGAGTTTCCTGTTCCACACTTTTTGGAGAAGCTTCTGTCAAGAGGTGAGCATGTAGTTTGGCAGATTCAGAGGAATAGAGGCAGGAAATAGGTTGGTGATATAAAATGTAACATTTACCATCATTTCCATGGGCTTCTTCTTCCTTTCCTAACAAAAGTACGGGTGGTGTAAGAAGGGAACCCATCCTTTGGACTCAGCAAGCATTTCACTTAAAAAAGCAATCCTTCTAGATGAATGTGTTCTCACACCATTTGTGGGTTTACTCTTCAATTGAACTGGTTAATGTTCAGGTTATGTTGTTACTCCTGTGCATGTTACATTTCCAATTTCTGTAAGAAAAGGGTTGATGATTCCAAAGTGGTTCATTGACATGGGAAATGGAAGACGACGACAGCAATGTAAATACCATAGTACAGACTAAGTAATAAACCTAAAACCAGCCCTGGGTCAACTGAACCTGCAACAATGAGAGGAATAAATTGAATAGCAATTTTTTTTTCTGTTTCTTTCAAGTCTTCAGTGTATGAACATTCCTCCAGAAGTTTCTGACATTCTTATGACATTTTAAAGCTAAATGAATGTTATGAAGAAGACCTCTTCACTAACCATATTGTGAACTTTTAAAAACGAGCAGAAAACAGTGCCTTCCAGGGTGAGATACTTATTAATAGGAGACGAGCTCCAGGGCACAGAGGCAGCATTCGGTACTGTACCTTACAGCAAAAGCAGGTGCCAGCCACGGCATTACAGAGGAGCTGGTAAGACCAGCCTAAAAGTCAGTGACAAATACTTTTTGAGAAATCACAGATTTTTGCTATTGATTTTTCCGTTTTTCCCTTCTTCATGGTCCCCTACATGGGAGTCCAGTGCCATAACCAGTGCGCGTCCTGCTGGCCCCAAGGCTGCATCATATTAACAGCATGCCGTGTGGGCTTGCTGTCACTTGTGCATGTGCACAAGCTTATGTAGCTGTGTAAGACCATTACCATGTAGAGTGGTGTGACGGAGAAGTCTTTGATGGTTTTTTGTCCTTTCTGCTGTGGAAAGCCCATGCAAAGAGGAGCAAAGGCTTCCATGCAGATCTACGACTGGGTTCTGAGGGCTAAGATAAACTTGGAGAGGTGTACTGAGATCAGTGCCCCAGCACCAGCTGTTCTGCAGCAAAGGGCTTATAAGGACACCAGTGGAAAATGTGGCACCAGAATACCTGTTAATGCATGGCTGGATTCACAAAGCACAGTTGGTCCAAAATGCCTGACATGGGTTTGAGAAAAATGGGAAAAACTGTGAAATTTTGAATATGACAGTATTGTGAGACCAAATATGGCTTC